AAAGAAAAAGATAAAGAAAAAAAGAAACAAAAGACACAAATGCACATAATGAAGGATGAAAAGGATACAATCACAACAGACCCTTTAGAAATTCAGAAAATCATCTCTAGCTACTTAGAGAGTAGGTAAAAAAAGAAAAGAAACATGTACTCTTTTCTTTTTCGTCTTCTTCTGGCAGGGTCTCATCGTATAGTTTAGGTTGGACTTGAACTCACTTTGTAGTCTAGGCTGATCTCGAGCTTGCAATGATGCTCCTGCCTCAGCCTCTCAAGTGAAAATTTGTATTCTAGTATGACGGAAAATATAGAACAAATGGACAGATTCCTAGATACATATGATTACCAAAGCTGAATCAAGAAGACATAAAAATACTAAATAACCTTGTATCAATAATTGAAATCAGGATGTAATTAAAAACCACCAACAAAGAAAAGCCCAGGCCTCAGTGGATTTACTGCTGAATTCTACAAGAAATTTAGACAAGTGGCCAGGGGTTTAGCTCAGCAGTGTAAGTGCCTGCCTTGCAAGCACATGGTCATGAGCTTGATCCTCGACACCAAAAAGAAAGAAATTTAGACAAGACATAATGCCACAATTTCTCAAACTCTTCAATGAAACTGAAAAGAAAGCAATACTTCCAAATTCATTCCTGAAAGGAGGCATTAGCCTGATACCAAAACCAAAGAAGGACCAACTAAGAAAAAAAATTACAGGCCAATTTCCCTAATGAGCACTAATGCAAAAATCCTCAATAAGACACTGGCAAACAGACTGCAGCAAATTGTAGAGAGCTGCTGAAACCGGAGGTAGATCACATATGGCCAAGGCCAGCCCTAAAAAAACCAAAGAGCGTAAAAAAAACCAACTAAATAAGGTGTTCCAGCTCCAAGAAGACAAGGAGCCTAACCCAGCCAGGTAAACAAGTTGCCAAGCAGCAGATTGAAATTGACATTCTTCTTGGGATTCTGTAAAGGATACATAAATGTGCTACAGTGGTTGAGCAGTTCCTTCTCTCCCATCAGGTCAGTAAGAGTCCCACCCGACCTTAGCTATTTTTTGTTCCTTTGTTTTCTCTTCCTCTCTTGGTCCTTAACTTAAGAACCTCAAGAGGCACCACAAGAGAGGTTTCAACAGCAAATTGTCAAGACTGTACACCATGATCAAATGTGATTCATCCCAATGATGCATGGATGGTTCAATATACGTAAATTCAAAAATGTAATATGCCATATTATCAGAGCCAAGGACAAAAATCGTATGATCATCTCAATACATGCAAAAAAGCTTCTGACAAAGTTCAGCAGCCATTCATGATAAAAACTATACAGAAAACTGGAATAGATGGACTCTATTTCAATCTGATAAAGGTCATCTATGACAAATGGACAGTCAATGTCAAATGAAATGGACAGTCAATGTCAAACGAAATGGACAAAAATTGAAGCTTCACTCTATATTAGGAACAAGACAAGGATGTCCACGGTCTACAATCTTATTCAACATAGTCCTAGAAACTTTAACAGGAACAGTTAGACAAGACAAAGAAATAAAAAGAATAAAGATAGGAAAGAGAGAAGTTAAATTATCATTATTTGCAGATAACATGATACTCTACTTAGAAGATCCCAAAAACTCCATCAAAAGACTACTAGATGTAATAAGCAAATTCAGTGACATAGCTGGTTACAAAGTCAACACTCAAAAATCAATAGCCATCCTATACATGAATAACAAACTCTATGAGACAAAAATTAGGGAAGCACTATTTTTACAATAACATCCAAAAAACACTGAACACCCATGAATCAACTGAACAAAAGATGTAAAAGACCTCTACATTGAAAACTACAGTACAGTTTGAAGAGAATATTAGAAAATAGAAGAGATAACCTGTGTTCTTGATTAGGAAGAACCAATATAGTGAAAATGGCCATACTTACAAATTGTTATGCAGATTCAATGCAATCCGAATCAAAATTCCAATAGCATATCTCATAGAATTACAGCAAAGAAGTCTAAAATTCATCTAGAACCAGAAGAAACCTAGAATACCAGGGCCATCCTGGGCAGCAAAGACAAGACAGGGGACATCACAATTTCTGACTTGAAATTACACTACAAATATACTACTGTGACAAAAACAGCGTGGTACTGGCAAAAAAACCCAGACCCACAGATCAATGGAATATAGATTAGAAAATGCAGAAACAACTGCAGACACACGAAGCCACTTTATCTTTGACAAAGGTGACAAAAACGTTCACTGGAAGACTGCCTCTTTAATAAATGGTGCTGAAAAAACTGGCTCTACACATGCCAAAGATTAAAACTGGACCTATATCTGTCACCAGGTACTAAGTTAAAATCAGAATGGATCGAAGACCTTAATAGTAAAGTAGAAACATTAAATGTGCTAGAAGATAGAGTAAGTAAAACTCTTAAAGACACTGGTATAGGCAAAGACTTTATGAACAAAATCCAGATTACACAGGAACTATCACAAAGAATCAATAACTGGGATCTTACCTTACAGAAAAGCTTTTCCACAGCAAGAGAAACTACCAACAGAGTGAAGAGGCAACCCATAACATGACAGAAAATGTTTGCAAGCTTTTCTTCAAGGATTACTATCAAGAACATATAAAGAACTCAAAAAAAAAAAAAAAAATCAGTCTTCCCAGATTTAAAGACCCAATCAAAAAATGTGGATGAACACACACTTCGCAGACAAAGAAATACAAACAGCAAATAAATATGTAAAAAAAAAAATGTTCAACACACTGGTCATTCAAGACATGCAAATTAAAACAACACTGCAAGAGTGACTACTCTCCCCAGCAAGAGTAACTACTATCAAGAAATCCAACAGTAACAAATGCTGGAGGGGCTATGTGGAAAAAGGAAACCTCCCTCCACTGTGGGTGGGAATACAAACTGGTACAACCACTGTGGAAATCAGTGTGGAGATTTCTCAAAAAACTAGGACTAGAAGTCTCATTCAACCTAGCTATCCCCCTTCTGGATGTGATCTCAAAAGAATTAAAAACATCATACCACACTGATATATGTTCTCCTATGTTGATAACAACACAATTTGTAATAGCCAGATCTTGGAAACAACCTAAACGGCCATCGACTGAGGAATGAATAAAAAAGATGTAGTAATTTTATATAATGGAGCAGTATTCAGCCATAAAGGATAAACTGAAGACTTATAGTTAAATGGATGCATTTTGAGAACATAAACATTAGTGAGATAAGTGAGACATACATGTAAAAATCATATTGATTCCTTAGTGTGAGACGTGAAAGAAAAATGTGGCCAGGCGTGGTGGCACACACCTGTAATCCCAGCACTTGGGAGGCTGAGGCAGGAGGATCTAGGAGGATCTTTACAAGTTCAAGACCAGCCTGGGCTACAAAGCGAGCCCAAGCCAGCCTGAATGGCACAGTGAGACCCTGGTCTCAAAAAAGACCAAAAAAAAAGAAAGAAAAAGAAAATACATGTGTATATACATGTATATAAAAAACAGTTAAGATAGTTACACTACTGATTTCTCTGAGCTCACTGAAGAGAAAGATTTGTACTCCTATTGTTCAGCCAATTGAATGCAGATGTCTTGTGCTCTGGGTGAATGATTTGGGGACAAAAATGCACAATGTATGTACCACTGTTGCCCCCTGAAGAAAATAAAAACAAAAGTAACTCAATAAAAATGCAAAGTACATACAGGATTACAACAATTTTAAAGACAAACAAATGGTCCTATTGTGTGCTTCCAACAATAAACTCAAAAGTCTACAGCACACACACACAAAAATATATAAAATAAGAAAAGCACCTTGAAAAGTGGGGTCTTGGGCATCCAACTTTCTGCGTCCTCTTGTGTCTCCCTTAGAGAAGTTTTTTCTCTCAATTAATTCTTCCTATTCTTAAAACAATTTTTTTAAAAAAGAAAATAAGAAAACAAATGCCTGAGACATGTAGCTCAGGATGGGAGTGGGTACACACACAGTGCCCAAATTAAACGAACAAAAAGTTGGTAATCTGTCCCTAATTTTTTTTTCAAAACAGAATAAAAGATTACACTCTACACCTGACCTACACATCTGGGCCTTTTTTAAAGACAACATCTCACTAAATTGTGCAGGCTGGCCTCAAACCTGCAATCAGTAGCCTCCTTGTGCTATGGTGCTCAGCTTTGTCCACAGACTATCTCCAAAATTTTTTTACCAGGTACCCACTATAAGTAACCCAAACTAACAAAGATTGAGGCCCTTTCAAAATGTTTTTTCCCAAGACTATTTTACTAACTGGAATAACACAACTGAGAATATCTTAGAGTTTCACAAGCTTATATGTAATGGTGGGTACATTGTTTCATCTTGAGAAGTTCAGAAGTTTAACTCAAGGACTCAGCAGCTGGGTAGGAGGAAGGGGACTATGGCCCTCACTCTGTAAACATCCTCATCCTATGCAAGAGGAGTGCAGGGAGATGACCTGAGTGCTACACCTACCCGAGGGTGGGCTGCCTGCTGACAATGTGAAGCAGAGTAGAGACATGCTCTTGTCTGCCTGCCTTCTGCCACCATGAACTGCTGCCCTTGGTTGGAGCTGGCAGAGTTCAGACACAAACTGAGAGCTAAATAAACCTTTCCATCTTTACCTGTGAGGGTCAGGTATTTTGTACCAACAACAAGAGAAAAGTAACTGAAACTCTACCAGTAAAAGAAATGCTTTACTTCTAATTCAGCAAACATATCTCAAACTTCACAAAACACTTGCAAGGATATATCAGTAATTCAAGTTAAAGTATTTATTTATATTATCAATTACAAAATGTCAATATAAGTAGATATTAATTATCAATTCTATTTTAGCCACAAAAAGAATATACTGCTTATTCTGCTTTCAAAATTTAAATATTTTCAGCTATATGCCTGAGGCCAGCACACATCAAACATAGTAAAATATTTCAGTTACTCTCTTATCTTCTTACCTGTAATCACTCTGGCGGCTTGCAGAATGATCGTCTCTTGACCATCGATAGCCAGATTCATCCTGTAACATAACAAAGTTATTAACACGGTTAACAATTTTCAGACAAGTGGGATAAGACAACACGTCAACCATTTCAATAACCAGAAGTAGACAGTTAACTGAGAACCTATGACATCATTCACCTCATATAAAAGCATCTGTTTATGTTCAGTTCATGCAGTACAGATGTACTGCCAAAGTATCAATATCACAAAATAACAGTATCACAAAAGTTAATGGCTGCTGGAGAACAAAGGCTTAAAGTAGTTATCACTTCTCCACCCATCATTTTCCAAGTTCAAGCTCAAAAAGAAACTTGATACTTTTTTCTTTTTCACTTTTCTAGCTCAAGTTTTCTTTTCTTTTTTTTTAAACCGGTACCAGGGATCGAACTCATGACCACGCGCTTGCAAGGCAGGCGCTTATGCCGCTGAGCTAAATCCCCAGCCCCTCAAGTTTTCTTTTCACAGCTTCTCTGACTTAAAACCATAGCAAAAAGCAATAAAACACTATCAGTGATAAACTACGTTCAGGCTTCTATGAAGCAATAAATTCTACATGGACCAAACACATTTTGACCTCTTAAAATATATTCTCAAAGATTCATAAAAGAACAGAATAGTAATCCATACTCAATTACTTTAAAATTATATGCAGAAAATAACAATCAGAAAAATCAATACAAAAAGAAATGCTCTTCATGTTCCTGTTTATCAACACATTTCTACTGCTAAGTAAAATTTATATATCATTTTCCTTTTCAACATTAAATATAAACAAAAGGAAACAATTCAACTGCTATAATAAAATGCCAGATAAAGTGAGTAGTTTGTTTTATGAAAGTGAACTTCAAATAAGAATTACTGTGAGAATCCTAAGGAACACACGTGTGCTTGGTTTTGTTTGAAGAAAATTTAAAGAAAAATGTTACACAAAGCATGAAGACAAATATAACTATTTTGTTTTCCTTTGTTTCATGGTGCTGGGCACTGAAATCAAAGCCTTTGCACATGCTAGGCAAGCAGTTCAGTTATAGCCCCAGCCCAGGCAAACAAAATTTGAAAGATCAAAAGGAAACAACTATGCTCTTCTGTAAGTACTTAAGGTACAAGTTTTTGGTTTGGTTTGGTGTGGTGGGGGACGCTTATAAGGTTTCAAAAACTGTCCAAAGAACAAAAGGATACATAACTCCTTGTCAGTAATAAAGGCCAAAAAAGGTTTCCATGAAAGGTACTCCTTTTCACAAAAGGTAGCAAATGTTTATGCTACAATCAAACTGTTTCTCCCTGCTACCTGTTTCTACCTGGAGAATGATTTTGATGGCAGAATCTAGAACTTCCAGCCTAGAAACAATGCACAGCATTTATTTTTCAGCACCTGACCCCTCTTCACAAAGGAATACCACAGCATTTAAGAGATGAACAACAACAACAACAAAAAAAAAAACTCTATGAAACGGAACATGTAACACTCCATACTTTAGGAACAAACATAAGAAAATAATGAAGAGTCTCATAGGCACTTCAGATTGTTACTATTATGTAACAGCAAAAGAATGGAAGTCCCTTAAGTACCCAGCCTTGGAAACTACTAACCTCCATTTCTCCAAGTGCACACTAACCCAATAGCCAGTGTGAGGTCAAAGCAGTGAATGGTTAATTACTATGTTATACATAGTACAAAAGGGGAAAAAGGAAAAGAAAATCTATACCAAATGAATATTGTAAAAATGTAAGCTAAAACACAAACTGTGTCAAAAAATACCTTTAAACAAGTCAATAACAAATCAGTGCTCCTTAACCAACTTCTAGATTATCAAGAGATAAATTATAATAGTAATAATAGTAATTAATATTTTTAAAGTGATTATGACATGAGCAATGTTTTGAGTTTGTTTTTTATCTTTTGGAGTTTAGGGTAGCCTGGAAAGCACTTTGTAGCACAGGCTGACCTCAAACTCACAAGCCATCCTTGTGCCTCAGCAGTTACTTCAAGTTAGCCTAAAATGCAATTTGTAGCACAGGTTGAGCTCAAGCTCAAAGCCGAATGGGTGCTGGGACCTGCCTCCTGAGTGCTGGGACCACAGGCTGCAACACCACACGGGGGGTGAGTACATTTCACTACAAACTAGCAAATAGACTTTAACAATCAAAACAAAAAATGAGACTATTAACAACCTTAAAGCATTTTACCAATAGCATTTTATCAAGATGAATGTATAATAATTTATAAGTGGGTACATTCAGTATGAAATGGTTCATCATTCTCTAAGTATCAAGGCAAGAAATTATACAGCTCTGCAAATCTCTGCTAATTTAAAGGATTAAAAAACTCAACGTAGGCTGAGATATAGTTTAGTGGTAGAACACTTGCCTACCATATGCAAAGCCAGCACTGAACAAAGGCAAGCAAGCTGGAATTACTTGCAATCTGAGCTGTCCACGGTGCTTACCAATTGTCCAATGCCCCAACATTCATGACTACAAATTTGCATTTCACAGCTCCAAAAGGCCATTCAACAGAGCGTCAGAAGGAATTATTTATTCAAGTGCTTGTATGGCTGTCACATACATTTTAATTACATGAGTTTTAAACTTATAAGAAATAACGGTTAGTACATGGGGAAATTTTACATACTCCTCTGTGAGATGGACCACTTCTTCGATCATGAGAAAAACTGCGGCCCTCGTCATAGTCTCGATAACCAACATGACTGTAATATCTACTGTAGCTTCCTTCACCAGGTCTGTCTAGCAGTGGTGGTTTCTTTTCTAGCAGTGGTGGTTTCTTTTCTAGCAGTGGTGGTTTCTTTTCTAGCAGTGGTGGTTTCTTTTCTAGCAGTGGTGGTTTCTTTTCTAGCAGTGGTGATTTCTTTGGCACAATATTAACTACTCTATGGTAGCCATCCTAAAACAGACAAAAAAGAAATATATAAAAAAAATCACTAATTTCTCTGTTTAATTTTGGAAAAATTTTTTATAAGTACAGGAGAACTTATCCTTAATCAAACAGAATAAATATATAAACAAACAAAAATGCATTAATGAAACAACAGGATTATAATTAATAGTAAAGTCTTTATGATGATTAAAAGAAACAAAACAAAGAAAGCCAACCATTCAAAATAATAAGCAACAATGCCAAAAACTACAAAAAAAAAAATATTACTTTCATTAAAAAAAAAAAAAAACTTCAGAAAATACGGATGATATAATTCTATTCTTACTTTCCTAAGAAATGTAGAAATAAAACATATTTGGAGTACTGTGTGTGAACCATCCTATTTAGAAGTACAAGATTTTTACATATAACCAATAGCAAGCAAAATAATGATGCTGAGCTAGAGATCAAAAGGAAACATTTTGCTATTTCTTCAGCACAATTGAAAAGGATAACCTTTTGCTTAACAAGTTCACAAGCAAAATAAAAGCTGATCCGAAATTATAAAATGTTTTCAAAGTAACAAGCTCTTGATGTTTTCACATTTAACCACCAGGGTGAGTTTTTTATATTGGAATTTGAGAAATTGGACAAAAGAAGAACACCTGTCTCCAGTTAGCAGATGATGAAGAAATAACTTAAGGATTATCACAGCAAGAATAGAGAGTTACAGAACATGTATCCATAATCTATTGTAATTCATAGTATTTCTAACAATATTGTGTGAAATATACATGAAATAAACTTAAAAGCTGGATGGAAGGTTAATATGTCACCTGATTTAACAACAGTAACAAAAACTTCACAGAAGGTAGAGTTCAACACTGATGTCTGGTTAATTCAACAATCTTAAAGGTCAGTTTCTCATGGATAAAACAGCGTTAATATTAACATCTACCCCCCTGAAGTTACTAGGACTTAAATGAGAAATTGTATGTAAAGTGCTTAGGACACATTTCTGTACATGCTGGGTCCTCTTAAAATGTTTAATGAATTATCACCTTTGCAAGTCCCAAGTACTAAATTCCTCCCTTAAATGGCTTCTTAGCATTAATCACAAAAAGCACTGAATTGTTATTAAATTACTATGGAACACTCAATTTTTCAACTGTGAGAAAAAAACAAAGTCAATACTTTATATCCATTCATGAGATTAAATATCTAATCCTTCCAGTTCCAAGAAATCCTAAAACCCCCTAAATCCCTTAAGTGTTTGCATATGCTGAGGTGGGGGACGACAGAAGTATGCGTGCACAACGCAGCTACAGATAAAGAGCTTTCTACTTTACAAAGCAGCCTTTTCCTCTGTTCAACTGCCCAGTTACCAGAAGAAATATTACTCAGCGTGTGTAAGCATCTTGCCTGGCAAGCACAAGGTCATGAGTTTCATCAAGATTCTGTATGATAAAACTTTCAGAGATTAAACTCAAATCACATTTAGTTATTTTCAAAAATGCCTTTACCAGCCAGGGATTTGGCTCAGCGTGTGTAAGCATCTTGCCTGGCAAGCACAAGGTCATGAGTTTCATCCCTGGTACAAAAAAAAAAAAATTCATTTACCAATGGTACGTGGTAGCACATGTTATAATCTAGGAGCATGGGAGACTGAGGCAGGATGATCCTAAATTCAAACCAATCTTGGAAATTTAAAGACCTGTGGAGAATCTGTCTCAGAATTTAAATAAAACAAAAGGACTAGAGATGTCGCTAAATATCACAGTCCTGGGTTCAATCTCCAGTATCATTTACTAATTAAAGAAAACACTCAGGTAGTTGTTTACTAAAACAATCTCATTTTTATGAAAGGTAGCTTTCATGTCCACAATGAATATTAAAGGGCACTTTGTGTATGTCCTAAAAAAAAACTGTTCAAATAATAAGTATACTAACAGTACTTACAGTACTGTACTCTGCTCTTTAGACATCTAATCTTTTGGAGGGAGTGAAGTAGGGGGAAAACCTGGAAATGAAACTCAACACCTTATGCTTGCAAGGCACGTGCTGCACCACTGAGCTAAATCCTCAGCCCATAGAGATCTAATCTTAAAAAAAAAACTTTCATCTTATATGAAAGTATTTAAGAAAACAAAGATTTCAGATTTTCTCCTTAAGAAGCTTAAATTTAATAAGGTTTTAAAGTTTTTAAAAAGCAGCAAAATAAAGTTCAAGCATTACTTCTTATTACCTGCACTGTCAAACCTGAATGAAACTACTATTACTATTTGAAATTCTTGGGAAGGGAGTTTAACTCAGAAGCACAAGCACCTGCTTGGCAAGCACAAGGTTGTGAGTTCCATTCCCAGTACCAAAAAGAAAATAAAGCCAACACAAACCAAACAAACAAATGAGAAAAAAAAACTATTTGAAATCTTACACGAATCTTACCCTGAGTTGTACATATATATCATTTTCCTTTCTAAATGATCGTATCACATATAGGGAATATGGTATTCAAGTCTGGAACCACAATTTTAGGAAAACCTATTAAAATAATGGCAATGGAGGGCTGGGGATTTAGCTCAGTGGCTAAGTGCCTGCCTGGCAAGCACAAGCTTGTGAGTTCGATCCCCAGCACCAAAAATATAAAGAAAGAAAGAAAAAAACAAAATAATAGCAATGGCAATACCATTATAATCTGGAGGCTGAGGAAGTAGTTCAGTGGCAAAGCCTTTGTGTACCCTGGATTCAATCTCCAACTGTCAGAAAGAAACAAAAAACTAGAACAAGAAACTAAAATAGAAAAGCTTAAAGTCTTACATACAACCAGAAATAAAAATTATAAAAGTATCTTAAAAAATCATGAACAGTAGTTGGATATGGTGTCACACACCTTTTAGTCCCAAGATCCAGGAGACTAAGTCAGAGGACTTAACAACTTAGTTAACACCTTGCAGGTAGGCAGGCAGGCAGGCAGAGACAGGAGGACAGACTGGGGATGTAGCTCAGTGATACAGCATTTAGTGGTTTAATTCAGGGAGGTAGCAGTAGGATCAAGAAAGGAAACTCCACGGAGCTGAAATTTCCACTATTTCAAAAACAAGGTCTGAATGTAAATACCTCAACTTACCTCAGTGAAATTAATTATAATTGTCTACATAAATTCCTTTCTCTATATAAATAACACTTGGACTTATTTTAACAAAAAAAATTTAAATCAGAATATTAATATATCCACTCCCCTCTTTAAGCATCTTTATTAGACACATACATAGTTATTTACACTTGAAATTTACCATAAGACAATCTATGAAAGAAGAAAGTGGTAAAGACAGAGACAAAACACAAATGGCCTTGAGTAGATAGTCATTGGATGGGCAATTTGTCCTTTGGGAAATAATATTATTTGTTTTTATATACTCAATACTGTATTCTACTCATAAGAATCAAAAACAGCTACCATTGGGCACTAGCCAACTAGCAAGGGAACTGAGCGCAACTGCACAAGTAGTGGCTGGCACAGTGACTCCCCTGGCAAGCACGCACAGCCTTCAAGAGCCTGCAGGGCCTCTGCTGCTCTCACTCTTCACTCCCAGCACCTGCAAACTACTTGGCATGACACAGCACCACACATGTATTACCTACCTTATTTTGCTATCCAAATTTTACCTTAATTTTGTCATCACATGCTTTTTCACTGTAAGTATCCCACACAAAAGGTACCTAAATAAAAAAGCTATCAGGACAGGCATGGTGGCACACTTCTGTAATCCCAACACTCCAGAGGCTGAGGAAGGAGGATCACTGCAATTCCGAGACCAGCCTGGACTACAAAGTGAGCCCAAGGCCAACCTGAACCACACAGCGAGACCCTGTCTCAAAAAGACCACCCTCAAAACAAACAAACAAACAAAAAAAAACTATCTCCAGAAAAACTGACTTTCACTTTCACAAGCTCTAAGGTTTCCTCAACATGATCCCTTGTACTTTATGACAAATATCTTTATTTTGACACCCTCTGGTTTAATTCACTAGCTGGTTCTTCACTGAAATACTTACTGGTGCTTTATGAATCATCCCAAGGTTTTCAAGGACAATAAAGCATAATAGTATTGGCACTCTCCCACCCAAAAAAGTGAAGGCATAGTATTGTCTTTACATAGAATTTGGCCAAAAAGTTACTGCATGTCTTTGAAAATGGTTACAACAAGAAGTCAAAGCCTAGTATTAGTATGGCCAGGTATGGTAGGACATGCCAGAAATTCCAGCACTAGGGAGGCTGAGGCAAGAGGATAAGCATGAATTCAAGTCCCGCAAGAACTAGATAGTGAGACTTTGTCTCAAATAAATAAAAAATACAAAAATACAAATAAAAATAGCCAGGTGTGGTAGCCACAACTATAATCTCAGCACTCTAGAGGCTTCCCCATTCAGCTTGTACAGTTTAGTGAAATCTGTCTCAAAATGTAAAACTGGGCTGGTAACTCTGGGCAAAGGCTATGGGTTCAACCCCCAGTACTAAAAAAACAAAAAGAATGAAAAGTTAAATCATCTTCTAGAATAGTTCTACACTGGGTGTCTGTATTCACTTAAAATTCAGCAAGTGAGCACCTAATATTTTGCATTTCACCAGGTACAGTGGCACACGTCTATTACCCCAATACTCATAAAGCTGAGACAGGAGGAACACAAATTTGAAAGAGCCTGATAGCAAAACACTTAGCAAAACACTGTCTCAAAGTAAGAAATAAAAAGGGCAGGCAGCTATTTCTATCACCAGTACCCAAAAAACACTGAACACTGTGCTCTACCTAACAATACACAAGCATTAGTTCTTAGTGGAAGAAGTACTTTGGCCACAAATTACTCTGAAAAGCATCAGAAAACTTATTAGAGGTTCAATAGGATGGATGGATGGGTACAGAATAAACCAACTTCAGTAATAGGGTAACAGCTGGATGCCAGGGACTAACCTGAAAAGCCTGAGGTTGTGAGTTCAATCCCCAGTATTAAAAAAAAAAAAGTAACTG